AGGGGAAGGGGCCCGGGCCGGCTGCTCCGCGCCGAGGCCTGACACCATCTGCTTGTCCTGCAGTTTTCTCCTCTGAAGAGGTGCCCACCCCTCCCGCTCCTCTCAGGCCTACGCCTTGGCGGCCAGGCGCAGACGAGACGGTGCTGATTTCGGATTCCCACTGGAGACTCCCAGGCTCCGTCTTCCATGCGCCAACCAGCAGTGCGGGGCTCCCGGCCTTTGGTGTCAGGCATCTAGGCCTCTGCTGCAAAACAGCCCCCTTTCTCTGCCCCTTCCTGGCGGGAGGCTTTACTCCAACTGCAGATTGGGAAGGCTGCATCTCAGAAGCAGCCGCCACTCGTCTGACCCTCTTCGTAATCTTTCCGTTGTCGGGAGAGCGTCGCTCTCTCTGAAGCCTTTGCCATCTGGAAGAGCGTCAGCATCTCCCCGCACCTCCTGCATTCGCCATCTGTTTGCACCTTCCCAAATCTGAAAGTCCTCCCTTTCGTCCTTGCCCGTAACTCTTTAATTTTTCGTTAAATCGAGGAGGCATTTTAAGATGCAGTTTACATACGAAGAATTGCTTGAAGAACTTTATATTGTATTTAAAAAACAAACGTATATTGGGCGCCTTGCACAATATGGGGTGTTTGATGGAAAAGAACTGGGATTCAGGTAATCTTGGAAGCAAGAAGATAAAGATGCAAAAGCAACCGTTAATTTATCAATAAATAAATGCTTCAAGAAAAAATCATTTTTGAGGGGGCTTCTAATTATCATTATAAAGTGCAAATGTAAAGAATCAAATTATACGCTCTCTCAGAGAGAAGGAAAAAATCCCCTACAATAGTGATAAAAAGACGGCACATCTACATGTGCCCCTACAGCGCCATTGTTACTGCCCCACCATTTAGTGCTTCCTTTTGGAAGTATTAAATGACAGTGCAAGAAAAGTCCATACGGTACGGTGCTGGCGGTGCGCAGTTATTTTTAGCCGCTACGTTGCTGTAGCAACGCGCTATAGCAAGGGAGCGTGTTGCTACGGCAACATAGCTGCAACATCACAGTTTGTGTCTGCGGACACTATGTCGCCATACCGTGTTGCTATGGTGATGTAGCGTGTTGCTACGGCGACATAGCATCTTGTGTAGACACACCCAGGAAGTGTCAAATGAAGCCATCTTAAGAGCTGTTTTCTCCTAAAAGAACTCAATGGAGAATTATTAGGGAATGAAGAGCTCCCTTCAAGGCTTGATGGGTCAGGAAAATTGGTAGGAAAAAATTGTAGTGATAAATATTTATAATTTAAAAGAATATAAAAAATGTGATAAGGTAACGAGACAGAAATAAACCCCCATGCCCATGCTGGGACCAAGTGACGTTTCAGAGGTAAAACCCTTAGTAATAATCCAAGTCTGACAGCAGTCTTAGACAGGAGCACATCTCAGGATACAAATATGGTATCCAGGGAAATATTTTGATTCTGAAAACACTGGTGGACAGTAAAGCACTGATTTCCATCTGCCACCTACTTCATGCCCACTACTGCAGTGTTTTACTTAACAGTCCACTTTTTATGATTGCAAACCATGATTCAACTCAATAAAAGTCTATGGGTGGCTTTCTATTGACATTAATGGGAACAAGATCAGACCTACCAGCTTTTAATGTACAGAGTATAAAGATTATATACCTCATCTGTGTAAAAATGCTTTGAAACGCTTTACAAATGTTGGCCAGCTAAGCATCTTTATCTTCTATTAGAGACTAGCCAGGAGCACTAGGTAACTGAGGTCTCACAGAGTTGCAATGATCGTGAGGCATGACAATACTTTCAGCAATGACAGAGCTAGCCCCACGTAGCCTCATAAAGACAGATAACACAAGACTGTCACTCACAGCGCAGCTCTGCGATCCCTCCCTTAGAACAAGTCATTCTTATATGAGAATATATTTTTACCTATTTTAATATACGTTGTGATTAGATTTCCTGCCACTTCCAGATGCTGCCCATAACACGCACAATGGGTGTGGAAACTGGAACAGTTTTCCATCCATGAACTAGCTGTTGCATTTATGCCTTACTTAATTTAGATCTATGTAATCTATTTTTACTGTAAGGAGTAAAAATCTATTTTTTACTCCTTACAGTAAGGAGTACCATTATGAAGTGATTCTTTAGACCTGATGTTTACTAGATGTTGGGACAAAGCAAAGACTCTTACCCCACACATGTTTCTTTAAAAACATGGAGTTTTTTCTGAAGAAAACAGCTTCCATAAAGATTTCTTCCCTGATGTTGTAAATGAAAGAACGCTAACTCCACAGGCCAAAGAACTGTTAAAATGTGATATTTGTGACATTCTGAATTATGACTACATTACTGATGCTGAGTGTATGATGCTGCTGTTTTGTAAGGATTAAAATAATAAAGAGAAAGTTAAAAAGAATACCCACACCTTCCGTGGTTTTCCATCTAACTGTTAAGTCTGGGCTTCTATGGATTAATGAAAACCTCAGGGAATTTTGTGCCAGTGGTTTTTGTGTTTCAGTGCTGCTGTTCTATACGACTGGCTGAAAGCCTCTGGTAACTCCAGGAGTGTTTACACCATTTGCAACAGCACTTCCCTGCATCGTGTCTCCACCCTGATTGGGAAAGGCCCCATTAGGATCAACAATATAAATCAGCCTCTGCAAACCATTAAACACTGATGAGCAGTTATTCACACAATAATCAAACTAAAGCTAATTCAACTCCCCTTACAGTCTGGCCTTGACTTTTTTCCTGCAAACACCAACAATATTATTAGTCAATGCTATTTGTGATGGTGGGATTTCTGTAGTGCTGATACCTCCCTTAGAAACGGAGTCAGAAAAAAAACATCAGATAGAAACCATTTTTGGTTACATCAGCTGGGTTTGGCTCAAAGTTGCTCTGGAGATGAAAGGCTCCATGCGCCTAATAACTCCCCTTAGCCATCCAGCTCTCTGAATGGCAAATATAGGAAATACGGTAAATTCATTTTTTAAAGCCAAAAGTGCTTAATAACCAGCCTAGCTGTGTGTCTGCAGTGTATAGGAACATGCAAATTACCATTTTTTTTGGTGGGGGTGTGACTGAAGGGAAGTGAAAGGAGAATTGCTGCACCTTGCACTCCCATGTGCAAGTAGGAAGATTCAAAGTAATTCTGATTTTTTGGGAAAGGGAATTGCAGGGCCATGAGCTGTCCACTGGAAAAGTGCTGTTTTCCCTCATTCTGAGGCCCGTTCTAGTTGTGGACAGCTCCACAGATCCCATGGAGCGGAGTACAGCTGACACAAAAGGTCTCGCTCGGGCAGCTTTTATTTTAAGAGCAACTTGAAAGATTAGCATTTTGATTCTCAGCCCGACTTGGCCTCCTAGGGAGAGTCCGGTGCAACGTGCTGCTGCACGGAGGTGGTTATGTGCACAGCTGAAGTCAGGCGGGGTGGCACCTTCGGCGTGAACTGCTTCAGACAAGCACGAGCTTTTGTAGGCACAACCAACTTCGTCACGTGCAAGGACCGGGCTGGCGGACTGAAAAGATTTTAGGGGTGCAGATAGGAGCAAACGGAAATGTTTCCACGTGAAACGTGCTTGGAGAAGGAATCGTTTCAGTCGTGACCGTGGGGTTGGGGGGCGCCTACGTGTCACCCAGCTGCAACATCGGACGCGGCGCGAGGGCACGACGAGGGGCACGGTGAAGCGAGGCCCCGCTCCGAGAGGCTGGAGCGGATCATGGACAGCACAGGGAAGCGGGGCTGGAAGGGACCTCCAGAGGTCACCTAGTCCAACCGCCCGCCCGAGACGGGACCAGCCGTCTTCAAACCATCCCACTCACCCCGGCACCCGAGACGACCGCCAACCCTGACGCGACACGAGATGCGGCGCCCCAGCCTGCCGCGGGGCCCGGGGCCACCAACGCACGCTCAGGAGACCCCAGGCCGCAGAGGAGGGCAACCCCCCGCGCCCCCAGTCCATAGCAGCCTGACCAGGGGGCACAATCCTGACACCAAACGTGGCATAGCTCTGGTGCTAAGTGGAGGGGCCGGACCCTGCGGCTTGGGGCCCAGCGGGAGCATGGGCCCAGCCTGCTCGGCGCCTCCAGCCTGGGGGTCCAAACTCCCTCACACAGGCGGGGGGGCCCA